GAGTGCTTCTCTTTAGGCGGGGCTGGGAGCAGATGGGATCCCCAGGATTCTGGTCCAGGACCCTCGAGGGCACTGGGGTGGGGCATCTTTACAGCAGGACAAACCTCAAGCTGCGTTGGGGAGCAGAAGACCCCAGGTCTCCTCAGGCTCGGCTGGTGAGAGTAATAATTTCATATCTTTGTGGCTCCCACCCCCACAGCTCCTGTAACTGCCACAGCTCCCTGGGGCAGAGGGGCGCTTGTTCTTATCATCGCCTCTCTAGCGGTACTGGATGCATCTGGACACTAGCAAAGCTACATATTACGTCAGATAACCCTGAGTTCAAACTCCACTCTGTCACTTACTCATTGCGTGATGTAAGGCAAGTTACTTAATCTCTCTGGGCCTTGGTTTCTGCATCTACACATTTACCCTACCATAGGCCACATTAGACACAATGTTGGAACCCGCAGGCAGTGGATAATCAGCATCATTACCACCGTCTTATCATTATCTTGGGCTTCTTGTTATCCTTTCTCGGCCTCATCTACAACATGAGAGCTTTGAACGAGCTGGTTCGTTCCTCTCCAGCTTTGAGTTACCACCTCAATCACACATGCCCACACACATGCCCACCCTGCTGCCCAAAGAGGCCCGGAGCCCCCAGGCCTACAAAGCCACGGTGGCAAGCCCGGGCTCTGCCCGGTACCCCAGCAGCAAGTCCAGGTGTCAGGAGAGTGTCCTGGCAGCTGAAAGGCAAGAGGGACGGCTGAGTGGCCGGAAGGATGGGCAGGCTGTAGGGAGACCGGGGGGCCTGCAGCCCCAGAGCCAGCTCCTCCCGCGGTCCTGCAAGCAGCGCCCATAAAACCTAATGGGCACTTGAAAGCTCACCAGCAGGGCCAGGTCTGATGGAGAGAGCTTTGGTCCCTCCTGGGGACGGGGGCTGAGACAAGGTGGCGGGGAGAGCAGGCACTGGGCAGCCTTGGGGACTGAAGAGGAGACGGAATGCCGGCTTTAGTGAGCGGCTCAGGGTAATGGTTGGTGGCGGCAGCCGGCCTACCCTGTCACCTGGGGCTCTTTCCCTCCCCACACCCACACAGTGCTGTGGTGGTGAGGGCAGCAAGGCGCCTCCTCTATTGCTGGCCTCCATTTGGGAAGCCGGGGCACATGTTCCTTCATTTAAACCCTGTGCCCGTTCTCTGGGCCAGGCTGGCACAGGTGCCACAGATCAGGAAGGATGACAGTGTCAGGCCTGCCTCTGCCCATGTTCTCAGAGTGAGCTCTGGGGAGAGGAGCGGGTTTGGCTGAACTAAGGGGCTATGTCTGTACATCACACATGGAGAGGGGTGCCCACGGAGGACCCTGGAGGCACTGAGGCCAGGACACAGAGGCCGGCTGGCTCGGGGTTTGCCTCTGCTGCGGGGGGTGCTGCGGGAAAACAAGGCACCTGACTGTGGTGCTGGCAGTTTGGTTCTCCAGAAAAGAGGGTGTCTGCTCTCAGGGGAGGGGCAGTGGAAGGGCTTTCCTTGCTCTCAGTCTGGAGCGATCCTCTGAGGGTTCGCTGGGTGACCGGAGCGCAGTCTGACCGGGGCCGGCCGTCCACGTGCAGCCTGCTCCTCAGCGGCACCGAGAGGAGCTGATGAGCCCCCTGGGCCGGGAAGCGCTCCTGGGTTCGGAGCCTGGCACTGGGCCAGGGGAAAGGGAGGGAGGCCAAGGGGGCTCCTCTCCTTCCCCTGCTCCTGCTTCCAGATCTGGAGTCAGGCCTGTCACAGAGCTTGCCCCTGTCCAGCAGTCCCTCCCCCCGCTGCAGGGCCCTCCCTGCATTCCCGTTTACTGACTCTGCCAAATGAAGCGCAAACTTAACTACATCACCCCCCTGACAGGACAGGGGAGGGCTGGGCAGCACAGTGGGCTGCTCAGTCCCCAATCTAGCCGCCGGCGGGGGTCATTTCAATTACAGACACCAGAGTGTGGCGAGAAGAGGCTGCTCATAAGAGCTTCCGTGCTATTGCTCTGCTAATTACGAAGCTCTTACCGCCTCCCTCGCAGGTAAATAACAGGCTGGGAGGCTTGGGCTGCTGAGATGGAGGGTGAGCCGGGGAACAGGGCAGGGAGGTGCCTGGCCTGGCAGGGAGGGAGGCATCGCCTTCCTGGAGGGAACATGGCACCGAGGCCTCTACCCCGCAGTGACCATCCACCGTCCAGGAACTGGTGGGGAAACTCCTGACCCGCAAGCCCAAGATCTGGAGTTGTGAGATACCTCAGGGCCCAGGGGATCCTTGAGAAGTGAGGGGACCGGGAACCCTGTGCTGAGGAAGGGCTCTGCCCTGCGCTCTCACCCCGGCAACTCTCTCGTTTGCTTCCTGGTCTGACCTGTCCAGGCTTAGAGCAGACCCTGCAGGTGGTTGTGTCCTAGACTGGGGAGAGACGAGGGCACAGCTCCTTCCCCACTAAAGCTCCTCTCCTCTGCACAACCAGGAAGGAGATGGGCCGTCTGAGAGGAGAGCGAGACCCTCGAACGGTCACCCAAAAGGCTGCAGAGGCTCCGAGAAGCCACAGCCCCGGCAGTTACGCTGAGACGTGAGGATGAGCAGAGGCTGCCCGTCTAGCCGGGGGCCGTGCTTAATGGCTGCTATTCCAGGCGCCCACATCCCCAATCCCCAATCGGAGCTGTGGTTTCTCGGTGAGTGCTGAGCCGCTTAGGCTCTGGGAAGCAGCAGATGGTAGGAGCACTCACAGCTGGGAGAATTTCGGTTTTGCTCTGTTCCTCAGTTTCCTTTCCCCATGAAATAGGCAACATGAGATTTATAAACACACAGAGGGTCTGAGCTACGGCTGCTGTGTAAACACGGGCTCCTGGCACCCTGTCTTCCTCCCATGGTGGAGGGACACCATCCCAGAAGGAGGACTTTCATGCCACTGTGTGTGTGTGTGTGTGTGTGTGTGTGTGTGTGTATTGATTTCAGAGAGAAAGGGAGAGGAAGGGAGAAATGGGAATACCAATGATGAGAGAGAATCATTCCTCCGCTGCCTCCTGCACGCCCCACAATGGGGATCGAGCCCACAACCCAGGCCGGTGCCCTGACTGGGACTCGAATCGTGACTTCCTGATTCATAGTCAATGCTCAACCACTGGGCCATGCCAGTCAGGTGCCACTTGTTAGTAACGGCAGTGCTCCCAGTGTAGAGCTGGCCCTGGCCTGCCTGCTGTGCTGAGATCAGCATCACTTGGCACATGAACAGAGGAGGCCACACTGGAGCCCAGCTTATTGGCCAGTCTTCACTCCAAAGGGCTGCTTCTCAGAGGCTGATGTAAAAAACCTGAGAGATGTTCTTTTTGAAAAATATTTTTAATTGAGTTTAGAGAAAGAGGAGAGAGAGAGAGAGAGGGAGAGAGAGAGAGAGAGAGAGAGAGAGAGAGAGAGAGAGAGAGAGAGAGAGAGAGATGCTACCTCCTGCATGTCCCCTACTGGGGATGGATCCCAAAACCTGGACATGTGCACCTGACCAGGATTTAAACCAGTGACCTCTCGGTGCATGGGATGATGCTCAACCAACTTAGCCAGGGCTTGAAAGATCTTCTTTGGGAAGGGAGCAAAGGAAGGAGCTGTAATGGAAGTGGGATAGAAAGTCCCTTTGGCAGCCCCCCTCCCCTGAAGTCCCCTACAAGGAGGCATGTGATGGCTTCAGCCTTGACCTTGGGAATAAAGCGCTTTGGGAAGTACCAGAGACAATAACTGGACTCTGATAGAGGTGGCTGGAACGGGAGCCCACAAAGACTCAAACATGGAACCCATCTGCTCATAGCAAGCAGATATTTTATTTTGTGGTGTATTATTTACTCTTCAAAGTGCTGTTGAATACATTGCTTCATGCTGATCTTTAAAATTCTGTGATGTGGGTAGAGCCCCAATGTCAAATAGTGAAAGCAGAAGCTCCGAGAAGTTAAGCTCAAGGTCCCTCAAAAGATGGTGGTGGAACCACAATCAAAATCAGGTGCTTTCTCCAAGACACGGCTGGAAAGGAAGGAGACTCCATAGTGGGGAGTTGGCCACCGGCTTTTTCCTCCTCTAGCAACTGAGGAAGTGGAGGGAGACTTAGGGATGGACTCAGAGGCTAACTGAGCAGGCCGAGGCGGAGGAAGCCAGTGGCACAGAGTAGGAAGTGAGGAGAGAGACAGGTGGAGGTTTGCATGGACACTTCCTGCTCACAAACTTCTTATGCTCCTCATTTCATTAACAGCAGCAGTGGAATTTCATGGGCAATTGGCATTGAACACTAACTGGGAGGTAATGAGAGAGAGAGGATGCAGGTAAAGGCTGTTTGAATTTAAATTCTTTTTCTTTGGGGGCAGGGGGAAGGAGGGAGGCAGATTTTTTTAAAAGGCAATTTGAGTGCTGGAAAAGTTTTCAGCAAACAGCTTTGGACTTTTGCATCCTCTGTGGCAGTGTTAGGACTGGTGAGTGTCATCCAGCCCACTGTACTCTCCAACCCAACTCCCTGGCTGCCTTGGAGTGAGAGATGGTGAGGGACTGGGTGTTTGGCCTTAAGTCAGTGTTGGCCCTCAGACTTGGGAAGACACACTGGAAACATGTACATCATCCATGAGCTAGAATGAGTTGCTCTGTAATAGTTATTGCAGAATCACCATAAGCAAAACTCTGTATGGACCTGGGCAGAGGTGAGGGATAAACTAGAAATAGAAAACAGAATTACTGTCCTAGGTATGCGTGATCTATTTGACAAGTGATGTACACACACACACACACACACGGCCACAAAGCATTCCAAGGGAGTAGGAAAACGGGGAATGTAAGACTGAAGGTAGAGAAGAGGGAAGGGTCATGAGATGACAAAGTGACAACAGTTGGGGGAAGGAGGCTGCTGTGGGCCGGACTCTCAGTGACACTTGGGCGAGTGAACTGAGGGGAGAGGCTGAGATGGAAGGAAAAGCCTCCCAAGGAGGTGGCCAGCTGGTTGGCGTGGCTGGACCACAGACTGTCATGGGAAGCAGTGAGAAGTGAAGAGTTACGTGTAGGGGAGGGAAATGTTGTGGAAAGCTTGAATTCTAATTTTCGGATTCAGGATATGAAACCATCGGAACTGCCACAAAAGAGGCAAATCAATGCAGATTTGGCTACGAAAGAGTATGAGCCAGAAGTGGATTAGTTACCCAGGTGCCAGCTGATCAGGGTTCCTTTGTTCAGGACGAGGAGCTGTGGGCACAGATAGGAAGCTAAGGAGCCATCGGGGTTGTTTAATTTTATGTGTCAACTTTGCTAGGCCATTGTGCCATTCTAGATGTTTCTGTGAAGTTATTTATTTAGATGGGGTTAAAATTTAAATCGTAGAATTTGAATAAAACTGATTATCCCCCAGAAAGTAAGTGGGCCTCATCCAATCCTTTGAAGGCTTAATAGGAAAAGACTGACCTACCCCGAGAGGAACTCCGCCAGCAGACTGCCTTTAGACTCAGACTACAACTCTCCCAGGGTCTCAAGGCTTCCAGCCTCCATAATCACGTCAGAGTTATGGGCTGAATTGTGTATCCACAAAATGTATATGCTATATCTTACAAAATGACTGTATTTGAATATGGGGCCTTTAGAAAGGTAATTAAAGTTAAATGAGGTCATTAGGACGTGAAGTCAAAAAGGTCATGAGGACACATATGACTGTGTCCTTATAAGAAGAGGAAATGTGGACAGGCACACACAGAGAAAAGGCCACATGAGGATACATGGAGAAGACAGCCATCTACAAACCAAGGAGAGAGGCCTCAGAAGAAACCAACTCCACCAGCACTTCGATCTTGAACTTCCAGCTTCCGTAGCTGTGAGAAAATAGAGCTTTGCTTAAGCCACCGAGCCTGTGGTATTTTGTTATGGCGGCCCAAGCAGACTGAAACAGGATAGCAGATTATAAATTCCTTGAACCCAAGGGCTATGCATTGAGCCTGTCCCCTAGCTCAGTGCCTCGCACGTGGTGTGTGCTGGCTGTGTGACCTAGACTGCGCTGGGAGCCTTGGCACCTGGTTTCCCTCCATCAGTGATGCCCTGGCTGCTGGGGCAGCAGAGGAAGATGGCTCACAGTGGTACAAGAGCTTCGGGATACAGGCTGGTGGAGAGGCTCGGCTGCTGAGATGGAGTGTGAGCCAGGGAACAGGGCAGGGAGGTGCCTGGATGTAAGGGAACTGAAGGTTGATGCAAGGTCGGGAATCCAGTCAAGGGAAGGATGAGCTGTGACTAACCTGTTTTGTATTTTCTGGTATGCTTAATACAATGCCTAGAATTTATCTGACACCCAATAAAGATTTTGTTGAAGGACTGACTAAATAAGTGATCAAGACAGGGCTGGGAGATGGAAGGATCTTACACTTAAATAAACCTGCGGAAACATACATGCGAAGTGCTGGATGTACTTGGGAATTTTCTGAAAGAGATTGCTAACAGGGATCACTGTTCCCTGTATGCCCCAAACTGTTTATGCATTTTCATCATGACTACATTACTCCTGGGTCATTTAATCTCCCATTAGGTGTGCATGCCTGGACTGAATGAAAAGAGGCAGCAGGGGCTGGAGAGCTTTTAACCCACCATTCCTCTCTAGTCTCCTCACAAAATTCTCAGCCTCCGCCTGCTGTGAAAGCACATGGACGGAGGCCAGCCACACCCGCCTTCACAGGCGGCTCCACAGAGCCCAGAGGGAGCACAGCGTGACGGCATAGAGTCCCAGCATCACCAGGTAGCCTTGGAAGAGCAGCCGGTCAATGCGTTCCAGGAGGGCCAACCATCCGACCTCCTGCTGGGCTGCCTGGTCCTGGGCTTGGAAGTACTTGCTGATGGATTGAAGCTGGGACAAGACTTCCTTCAGGGTCCTGGAGTGGGCCTGGTGCTCTTGAGAAACAGGGGACTCTGCATGAGAGAGGAGAACACCCAGTCAACCAGGGACGATACCAGTCAACCAGGCCCCTCAAACTTCCCATTGAGGCTGATGGCCTCCCCCTTCAAGAAAGGTTGTAGGTGAAACAGGACAGTGGGTTGAGTTGGGGGCGAGGAATCTCTTCCCACCTGCTCAGGGGTTTAGAATGTAGAAAAATCCTTTTAAGTTTTTAGATAAAACTAATATCAATATTACTAATAATTATAATAACTATAAAAGAAGCTACCATTTACTTCCCACTGCTGTTTACTTGGCACCAGACTGTGTTCCCCATGTTTTGTCTTAGTCAATCCTCACAGCAACTCTAGGGCTGGATGTTATTATCTCCATTTTATATACGAGGAATCCCAGGTTCCTAGAGGTGAAATTGCCGGAGGGAGCCCTGGAGAGCATATCTGTGTGGGGTGTCTAGGCCAGACCCATTCAGGAGGCTTTCGGAGCTGGGGACAGCCCAGGTTGACCCAAGCGGAGCTTCGTGGCAGAGATGATTTTTAAACCTTTGCACATTAAGCTACTGCAATCCAAAGCCACACAGTGTGTTTATGCATGCGCCTGTGCACACGGCACTTAGGAAATAAAACAAGCTAAGGGAATCGAGGACCTGACCTCCAAGCTGAAATGAGACTTTCTGGGAAGCCAGCAGGAGTCAGTGGCCTTCAGTCCCCAGAAAGGCTATGTCAAACACAGCACAGAGGCCGACAAGCAGATGGTTCAGGTTTCTCACGCTGCCCAGTGCTCCATCAGTGGGAACGGGACCTCAAAGCTTCTCACAAACCTGCCACCCCATCAAGATGGGCCCTGCGATCCATTATAAGCCCATCAGCATCGCTGTCCCCTCCAAGGCATAAGAGGGGCCGCTCCTGCCCGCTGTGCTGCTCTTCGTGAAGGAATTTGATCAACAAGATGGACTTGGATAAGCTGAGCACCAGGAAGGCCATGCAGACGGTGAAGAAGATGCCTGAGGGAAGGAACCAGGAGGTGGAGTTAGCTGGGGTCTCGGGGGCCCCTCCCTCCCCAGATCTGAAACGCAGCAGCAAATCTTTGCCACGAGTCATGCAAGACAAATGTCTGGCGACCCCAAGGCTGCTTACCAATCAGAGGGGTGCGCACTGTGCTCTGTGGCATCTCGTCCGACATGTTGACCCTGAAAACGGTGTAGCCCACCAGCACGCTGGTCTTGAACACGATCCTGGCGCGGCAGGTGGGGGGGATGTAGAAGCTGCCCAGGTCCACCAGCATGAGGAAGATGCTGGGAATCAGCAGGCTCACCACATAGACCAGCGGGCGCCTGCGAATCACCACCTGGACAGGGACAAGGAAGCTGTTGAAAGAGGGTCTAAGCCGATGGACTAACGTTTGGCCAAAACCAAAGCCAAGAAATCCTGACCGTGTTGTGTAATGTGAAAAGTCTATGTGGCTCAGAAACAGGAAACTGTTTTGTAGGTTAGAACCACCTGCTGTTTGGTAGGCACCCGACTAAGAGTTCCCTGTTTTGTCTCAGCCAGTCCTCACAGCAGCTCTAGGGCTGAGTATTGTTATCCCCGTTTCGCAGACATCGAATCCCAGGTTCCTAGAGATGAAACTGCTTGTGTAAGCTCACAGAGCTGGTTAGTGGGAAACTGTTTTAAAACCAGGGCTTACACTGAAATCTTCCCTCTTAAACCACGTGTGATGCAACACAGTGTGTGTTTGGGATCTAGTCTGTCTTCTTACTTGGAACATGAGCTGCTTAGCACCTGTGAGTGTATCCGTCGGAGTCTGGGCAGGAGCAAAGCATAACTGACTTGGGAAATCTGAGGAGGACTTAATAAAGAGACGGTTTACAGGATGTGGGCGGGACACAGGAAAGCCACAGGAAGGAGGGCAGTGTCCCAGAGGCTCGGGGGCACCGGTGAGCTGTTCCACCCCTTAGGCCTGAAGGGACCTGAGAGAAGCTGTGGGGACAGGGCTGCAGCAGTTGTGCCTTCCTCTTAGGGACAAAGCCAGTCTGACTGCGACTCCACAGAGAGAGAATGGGGAGACAAGCACCCCCTCGCTCCAATCTCCTGCCTGGGTCCCAGTCGGCCAAACAGCGGAGTCCTGCAGGCCACAGCTCAGTCTCCGGAGCAGGGAGCAGGGGCAGAAGGGGCCCCGCCACAGGCCGACTGGAGAGGCCCAGCGAGGCCCGCGGCGTGGCTGCCGTGCAGGGTGCTGAGTGGGTTTTGTAGCTGGAAATTTGAGCCTCATAAAATCACATTTTTTTAGTTTCTCTGGGATGATGACAGGAATTGTCTTTAATAAACACAAACTGTTTCCTCCCTTGAGATAAACCAGGGACTGACAGGGCTGCTTTTCTCACCAGGCGTTGGACCCTCCGAGGGTGAAAAGCAATGTGTTAGATCTCCCACAGAGCCAAAGGAACACCTATTTTGCAGTGGGTATTCCATAAGTGCTTGCTGAACAAATGGCTGGTTTTGGACCTTCACTGTTGGGATTTGGGGGGAAAAAACAATGTCTGAAATTTCTCATTTCTCTGATTCTCAAAGCAACAGGTTTTCCACGTGTCAGAGGGTACCCTTGGGAGTGGTCTTAGGCACATGGTGTGGTTTAGTTAATCCTCCCTGCGCGCTTGCTGGCAGGTAACCTCATAGCCCCGCTGTACAGATTTTAACAAGTGAAGCTCAGCCCTCAGCGAGGTGAGTTAGCGGCAGAGCTGGGAAGAGCCCGATGTCTCCCGATTCCAGCCCGGGGTTCTTTTTCATACAGCGTAGCTACAACTCTTGATCTGGCCAGACCTCTGAGTTGAGTTCAGGGTTCTTCCCCCTCCTCTCTGTCTCCTGTTCTGGAAGAGAACCACAGAGAAATAAGCCAGACAGAGGCCAGGGATGGTGCAGACAGTGGCAGGGCTAGAGCTTGCATGGGGGAGGTCAGACAGCACCTTGCCGATGAGAGCGGGACCTCCTCCCCCCGCCCCCCCTTCGCCATTGGGTCTGAGAGCATATTCCGTCTCAGTGGTGCTTGACAGGCCGAGTGTTTGGCGGATTGCAGTCTGGTTGTTGTCTTTCACATTAAACATAATTGGCTGCAGGTACCTAAACCAGAGCAGCACTCACTGCTTTGCAATAATTTGGTTAAAACCCATTTCTACTGAAGTGCAATCAACAGCAAAACAACAACAAAATGAGCTGTCATCAACCTGTACCCCTAGCTCCCCCTCATCCCGCTGTGCCTGGCTGTGGTTGGATGGGGGCAGTGAGCAGGGTGCCCAGTGGGCAGAGTCCATGGGGTCCTGGCGTGTGGGCCCAGGCTGGTGATCTGGGCATACGCGTGGGGGGTGACCAAGCTTGCTGTCTCTGGTGAGTAGAAGCGGAAAACCCTGTAGAGGCTTCATGGTGGCTGCTGCATGAGGGGTGAAGAGAAAAGTATAGGTGAGCACGTTGGTTAAGCAGAGAGTCCAGACGTCGTCCAGGGAACAGAGCTCCAGAGCCCTCGGCCCAAAGTCCTACCCGTGCTGGTTTCAGTGGTCCCGGGTGAGATATTTAACCTCTCCATGCCTGATTTTCCCTATTTAAAATATTAATTTCAGAGAAGGGAGAGGGAGAGAGAGATCGATACATCAATGATGAGAGAGACTCATTGATTGGCTGCCTCTTGCACGCCCCACCCACACTGGGTATAAAGCCCTGCAACCTGGCATATGTCCTGAGTGGGAAATGAACCATGACCTCCTGGTTCATAGGTCAGTGCTCAACCACTGAGCCACACTGGCTGGGCCAGGCTGCTTCCTTTTCTGAAAGAGCAGTTCACTGTAGCCTTGCCGAGCACCTTGGGTGCAGTTGAGATTATGGTAAAACTCTTCAAGTGGAGCTCCTCTGAAAAAGCAGGAGCTGAGATGACTGCTCCCCAGCCAGAAGCGGCTGCAGGGAATGAGGGTAAAGCAGGGCCGGAACCAAGGAAGATGCAGTTGCGGGGTAGAGCTGTGGCAAGAGCGAAGAGGTTGGGGGGCAGGCGGCTCCTGGGGCATGGAGCGTGCACTTTGTTAATGCTCTGCTGGTGCCGTTTTGAAAGTCATAGTGATTTTTTGTCAAGGGGCTGCCTTTCACTTTGTGCTAAGACCACACAAACTCTGTAGCCAGTCCTGTTGGGAGGGTATTCATCGCTGGGTCAACAGTAGCTGAAAGCAGAAGTAAAACGGTGGGAACAGAAAGAGGCAGCTTATGGTGTAAGAGAGCAGAAACCCCTCCTGTCTGTGCTTGGCTTATAAAATGGTGAATCTAGACAGGCCCTCCAAAACAGCCTCATCCATCTTCCTACCTTTGGTAAGGATGCTCCCCTTCCGAAGACAGACAAAATAGTGCCTGTACAGAGCTTGCTGAATTTTCCTTGGGCCTACTGACTAATTTGAACCCAAGACTCCAATACAGTCGAGCACTGAACAATGTGGATTTGAACTGCGAAGGTCCACTTATACACAGACTTTTTTCAATAAATATACAATCAGCCTCCACTCCATATTCCTGGGTTTTGCATCTATGGATTTAAACCAACTGCAATGCAGAAGGCTGACTAGGATTTATTGAAGGGACTTGAGCATCTGTGGGTTTCAGTATCGATAGGGGTCCTGGGACCAATCCTCTACACATGCCGAGGGATGACTGTAGTTTAGTTTGGGGAGACTTAACAGCTATGCTAGGATTTTCAACTGCACTGGGCACGTGGGATAGCCCCTAGTTCCCATGTTGTTCAAGAGTTTATATTTAATGCAGCAGAAAGCCCAGTGTTTAGAATAAAGCTGGTATTAATGACTAAAAAACAAACAAAACAAACAAAAAAACACAAAATAGTGCCTGTAGTTTTTGGTTTTCTTCAAGAGCGAAGGAGCCGCCTTTCCCTCTGGGTTGATTTAGGAGCAGGCTAATTTTCTCTACAAGTCAAGGATAGCCTAAAGAAATAGTAACTTTATCCCCCAGTTTTCAGAAATGTTTTGTTTTTATTATCTCTTTCAATCCTCAGAGCCCTTTATTCCCTTGTTCAGGAGACATGAATTGGGTATGAACAGAGTGTCAGACTCCAACCTAAATATTGGAGTCAGGACTGTACATAGGAAACTTCCCCGTCTTATAGAGTCAGGAGCCAGACTCTGGCGTTAGATGTTTCCCAAGTCTCCAGAGGAAGGGGAATGGGCCTCGCCCAGAGGCTGTGCCTGCTTCAGATGCTGAGATTTGTGTTCTTTTGAGTTTACATTAAGATGATATTTTGGTCTTAGAGTTGGAGCAGGTGTGGGTTAAGATTTTTGGGGGAGCTGGGACAGGGTGAGTGCATTTTGGGACAGACACGAATTTCCAGGAGCCAGAGGGTGGTGGACTGCAGAGGGTTGAAGAATGAGTCCAAGAACCCATGCCCTCCTGGAAGGTCATCATGTCACCGAACTTGGAAATGGTGATCCGTTCAGAGGAGGTAGAACTGGGGAAGACGTGCCCTTCATCCGATATGACTAGAGTCCTTTTAAGAGGAAGAGACACAAACAGGAGAAGGCCGTGTCCAGATGAAGGCAGAGATTGCAGTGCTACCTCTGTGAGCCAAGGACTGCTGGAGACTGCCAGCAACAGCAGGAACCAGGAGGGGGCACGAGACTGATTCTCCTCCCTGGGAGCCCAGAAGGAACCAACCCTGCTGGCACCTTGATTTCAGGCTCTGGCTTCAGAACTATGAGACGAATCACCTCTGTTGCTTTTAAGTCACAGTTTGTGGTGCTTTGTTAAGGCAACTCTGGGAAACTAACGCCGGGCCTTGCGCAGTAACGCACAGTGCACAGATGCCAAAGAACGGACTGGATGTGCTGCGTTATGTTTAGTTGTATCATCATCACATGGGACTAGGCATCGTTTCTTGTGTTAGATTGCCTGGGTTCAAGCCCAGGCTCCACGAGCCACCCCTGGTAAATGACTTAACTTCTCTGCAGCCCAATTCATCCGTTTGTGGAAACACAGACACGTAGCGCACCTATCTATCTCCTCCAGGTGTGGGGGTTACGTGTACAAACTCGTAGAACGGGGCCTGACACCGAGCAAATGCTCACGCCTGTGGTGATTGTTCGTATGTCTCCCTGAGCGACTGTGAGGTCTATGACAGGTCCCGGGAGCCTTGTTTTATTCATGTGTGTGTCCTCCGTGCTTGCTTACCGTGGAGCCTGGCACAGACAAGAGCTTAAAGGCTGTTTGTTGAGTTGCACTGTAGTCTATTAATAATTCTATTTTTATTCAATGGGGTGGGATCCTGGGAGCAGCCCAAATGGGGGCTCTGCAGCTGAGGTCACCCTCTGAGGGCTACCTCTCCGTGGGTACGCCAGAGGCAACGGCCCTGCTTCTTCTGGGGGAGGTACGTCACCGCCAGCTCAGTGAGACGCTGTTCTCTGTGGAGCTGCCCCTACCTAGAGCCCATCATTTCTAATGGACTAAGGGAGCCGGTGCCTTTAAATTTCACAGAAAGGGAAGGAAAAGCACTTTAGTTTCAGTCTGTGTTCTCCATTAGACACCCTTCAGGTGTTAGCAATATTATGCCACAATTTCATTATCCATTAAAGCCAGGTAATAATAAGTACACAAAGGTATTTGGAGCCTATTGTTGTTAATGAAAGAGATCAATCTAATTCCGAATGTGTGTGTGGAGAGCTCCTTGGAGATGGAATAGGCCCCAAGGTTAGCCTCTAATTGCCTCTGTGATGGTAGACCCCACCAGTACTCAATTTTGCATGACCGTCTTTATGACATAGTTGGAATTTTGACGCCCAGACTCAGGCTTCATACCGAAGCCCATTTTCCTCTTCTCCTAAGCCCCTCTCCACATTCCTAATTCAGAAAGAATGGGGAAGTGGCTGCCATCTATCTAAGATCTTTCCACTGAGGGAGAGTTTCTCAAATTTGGATCATAGCTCAGTGGGATTAGCAGAGCCCGTGATTCTGGGATTACTTGAGTGACCCTGGAAAGATTTCTAGGGCTCTAAATTCATATCTCCTCTCTCTCTCTCTCTCTCTCTCTCTCTCTCTCTCTCTCTCTCTCTCTCCCTCTCTCTCTCTCCCTCTCTCTCCCTCTCCTTCTCTCCCCCTCTCTTTCCTCTCTCTCTCTCTCTCTCTCTCTCTCTCTCTCTCTCTCTCTCTTTCTCTCTCTCTCTCTTCTCTCTTTCTCTCTCTCCCCCCTCCCATCCCCCGCCATTCCTCCTCCTCCTCCTTCTCCCCATCTCTCCCATTCTTGGCCTGGTGGTACTCAGAAGAATCTTCTATCAAGTTTATGAGCTGCATTGAATAGGTATCTGAACAGACAACTCTTCCTAAACTAGAAAAGAAAATCACGTCAGGAGAAAAAGACGAGGCACCTTTCTTTCCCAAACGGCCCTCCGCATTTTCCTGGAATCTGCCTGTGGACCCCCCTTCCTGCCTGATTGAGCGTTTACTCGGTGTGCGGCTCTGTGGTTGGACTCACGTTAGTTCTCACAGTGTCCACTCTCTTCTATCCAACATGCATTCTTAATTTTTATTCCTACCTTCTTCCCCTTCTACCCTCATTCTTGTATTTTTTATCGATTTTTTTTTTTTTTTACAGAGAGAAAGGGAGGAAGATAGAGAGTTAGAAACATCGATGAGAGAAAACATTGATCAGCTGCCTCCTTCATGCCTCCTACTGAGGATGTGCCCGCAACCAAGGCACATGCCCTTCATCAGAACTGAACCCGGGTCCTTTCAGTCCCCAGGCCGATGCTCTATCCACTTAGCCAAACCGGCCAGGGCTACCCTCATTCTTTAAAAAACAAAAACAAAAATGCCAGTATACAGACACCGAATGCTGGCCCTGCTGTTTCTGGGAACTATCACCTCTGAGGGGGTGTTGGAAGAAACCCCCCCTCCAGGGGCTGCTGGCTCCGGCGGCACTGGCTGCTCGCAGACACCCTTGCAGGTAGGGGGGCTGTGCTTGGGACCCTAGGGCTGCAGCCCCATGCCAGGCTTCGGCAGTACGTGCCCCATGGCTGGCAGATACGATTGCACGTTAGCTGGAACTAGGGGCGCAGCCAGAACATTGGATTTGGTTTTGATGGCAGCAGTGTACCTCAGGCCCAGGTGGCAGACACGTATTTGGAACAGATAGATCATTGTAGCTCCTGCCTGCCCACCTGTCCCCGACCCCCTGCTGTCCCAGCCTGGACTGGGACTCAGCAGGTGATCAGATTCAGAGGGAGGTGATTCTGCCCAATGTCTGAATGGAACTGGGCTCCAAATGTCTTGTTATTGGCCACGGGTGCTGAAGGACACATGCCTCGGCCGCTGAACTCAGAGAAGGATGTGTGGGATGAAGTCAGGGCAGCTGAGCCCAGCCACGGTGCACAGAGCAGGACTGGGGAAGCAGGGAGGCTGGCAGCGGTCAACGGAGACAGGATTGGGAAAGCCACCAAATCTCCTTCAAGCTCCCGAGTCTAACTCCCTGCCCAGCCAAATGTGATCTGTGAGTCTGCTCAGGATTCTTGCCCCCGTCTGTTCTGGAGGGCCAGGTGGCCGCCAGCCCTGCTGGATCACCCACCTTAGGCCCCGGGCAAAGGGCCCAGGGAAGAGCTCTCAGAGCCGGAAACCTGCCTTCACCACGCCCATCACAGACCCTGTGAGTGGAGAACCAAGTGCTGGGAGCCACAGGCCCAGAAGCTTCCCGTAGGCAGTCTTTCTCCCCAGCTGGGCAGGGTAGTGCACACAGTCCTCAGCCACTGTCGAGATGACAGGTTAGTATTGAGGGCATGTGTCTACCAGCAATGGCCGCCTATGCAGAGAGTGTGTGCGTGTACCTGCCCATTTCTGCTTCCCCCCCTCTCCGTGCAGCCCAGGTAATGGCGTGTGCAGCGTTCTCGGGGTGCTTGGTAGGTGACTGTGCCCCACCTTGCATGTGCTGCTCCCTCACATTTCCCTTTAATGCTCTCCATTATTCGGCTGCATTAATAATGTTTGCGGGCTGATATCTTTAAAATTAATGAGGTGTTTACTCTGAGCCAAGAAACTCATTGAAATTTAAAAAGCTCTCTTTTCTCCACTCCCTTCCCCTCACTTAAAAAAAAAAAAAAAAAGTGGACAAACAAGCCACAATACAGGCTTTGCTAAAAACCAAGCAAAACAGGCCAGAACTCAGACCCACCACTAAGAATACATGAGTGGCGATCAGCTAGTGTCCAGGGGGATACGGATCAGGGTCACACAGCAGCTGTCTCTCAGGGGTTCTCACTTAACGAGAGCCTTCCTGGGGAGCTGCGTGCACCTTTTCTCCAATGCAGGGCGTCTGTGCCTGCAATGACACCGCCTTTCACAGCCGCTACCCCTTAACACGCAATTATCCATTGTAACCATAGCACCTTAGTCTAGTCTCAACTTTCCTTCTTACTCAAAAGCCTTATTTCCAGGACAATTCATCTTGTGTATCCTGGTCTGCCTTTTCTGTTTTTCAATGGAATCCCTTTCCTGACATAAAGGATGCCCCCTCCTACCACTCCCCAAACTGCCGCCACCACTGGCAGACTTTGTGCAGGAAAGCAGAGCTGCATGATAGTGCTGAGTCTGTGGGCTGCAGGAACCTGCTTTTGCTCACATTCAGGGTGGTTGGCCAGGAGGGCCGGGGAAGGGAGAATGGCTCTCGGGAGTGCAGAGCAGCGGGCTTCACTGTCCTGCGCCCCACCCCCAACCCCCAACCCCCAGCCCCCAGCCCTGCGGGACAAATCCTCTGTGAACAAGGCAGCCCAGAGCATCCGGGTGGCACGTCTGAGCAGTTGGGGTTTGCATCACAGCCTTTTAGGGCAGTTATTCTCTCTGATCCAGAAACCATCAGCGGTCTCTGCGGATTCTGCGGGTGATTTGTTAGCTAATCCCTCCAGATACCCAAGTTAATAATATGGTAATTTTATGCACCTGCATCTGGAATTAATTAATAATTTACTAAACTGAAAACAGGACAATAGCGCTGAAGAGACAGCTCTCTGAGGTGCTGCTGTTGTGTGTGGGTTCTCTTTGGTTTCCCTCCGTAGGGATTGTAGGTGCCGGCGTTGGTGTGAACTAAAGGCCTGAGTTCCTGCTGTGGTGGCTCACGTGTCTGGTGTCTGAAAACCATTCCCTCTATATTCACGGGTGGAACAGCTCCCGCCGGAGTCCAGGGCCGGTGCCTGCACCCCTGGCCTCTGAAATGCTGAAGGCAAGTGGACGTCCAGAGTCGGCTGTTCCCGAGTAATAGTGAGTGAGAATAAGCAATGGAGGAGAGAAGGCCAAAGAGGGCAGAGAAGTGGGCAGAAGCGACGGGAAAGGCAAGGACCTACGTGAAACTGAAGCTGCGCAAAGTCTCCGGCGCTGCTCCGCAGGGTGCTGTAGGCAGAGGACACAGAGAGGAGCTCCCACTCACTGTCATTGGAGAACGCCTGTTTGTCATGCTTGACATCCTCTCTGCTCCGCAGGAAGGCCAGGTCTACATCTTCCACTAGAAATCACAGGAGCAACGGCGCCAACATAAAACCAGTCCTCTCACTCCTGCCCGCCGGGTACAGCCTCATGGAGGTGGAGTTCCATACAATCATTTGAATTAGGAGTAAAAGGGTAGGAATAAACTCTTTCTAGCCATGGAAAAAACAATTATGGATGTAGGGTTTGGGTTCCACTATCCATAGAATGATGGAGCTGCCACTGTGACTGCTATAACATCCCCAATGGCAGTAGAGGCCGGATAATGTATTCCCAAACAAAAAGCAGATGCTGAAACCAGTTTGGCTCAGTGGATAGAGCGTTGTCCTGCGGACTGAAAGATCCCGGGTTTGATTCCGGTCAAGGGCATGTACCTTGGTTGCAGGCACATCCCCAGGGGGTGTGCAGGAGGCAGCTGATCGATGTTCTCTCTCATCGATGTTTCTAACTCTCTATCCCTCTCTCTTCCTCTCAGTGAAAAATCAATAAAAAATATATATATATTTTTTTTAAAAAAGTGTGCATCTGGCCACAGCACCACACTTGGTCTGAATTACAGCATGAGCCAACTAATGGCAAGAAATTTAGGTTTACAAAAGGTTAATTATGTGCAAGAATAAAAGGGACCTGTAGAGTGGCATAATATAATCACACCTATGTGTGCCAACCACCCAGCACAGGCTGTGCCTCTAGCAGGCTGTGCCTCCAGTAGGCTGTGCCTCTCCCAGCTTACCTGTGTGCAGAATGCTATTGAAGGTTAGGCTGCAATTCTGGATGTCAAATGGAAAAGCGTATGTCTCTAAACTGCAGGCAGAGACCACCTGGATGGACTTGGAGTTCTTAACAGTCCCGGAGGAGTTCACATACACATAGGGAAGGTCAGGGAGTCTGTCAAGGTCCACGCTGTATGAAACACCAAAGGATTCATTGTTAGAGAGCTTTAGCCGATGCACAGAACTGGTTATGAGATGGTAGAGACTGCGACACCCAGGACTAACCCAGAAGCGCAAAGACAGGGTCACCTTTCCCCACGACGATTCACTCTAAGCAAAGATGAACTCAGCAATGACACCTCATAAATGAACTCACTTGCTACTGTTACAATACAAACACAACCCATGAGCAACCTCAAGCATTAGTAACCAAATCTGTATCTTAAGTGATGTCAACCTATGGTGGTACGTTTAACCTGAATACTCCCAACAATATGTTGGTCTTTAAGTTGAGAAACAAAAAATAGCAACAATGAGTGAATGGAAGCAGAAGCTATCCTGAATATCCTAAGCCGTCTAAACCCCACAGAAATATAGCCAATGTACTTACAATTCATTAATGATGATATCAGGGGCCCAGATGGCACTTAGAGGTAGGGAGATCTGGCTAATGTCATCAAACATGCTGGAGTTCCATGATAAAAACTCATCATCCCAAACCTGTTAGGAGTAGCCAGAAAGGAAACTTATCAAAAAGAGGCAATATCAAAGAACTGAAAAGAGATTTGGAGAAATAGCCCAACTGATCAGCCTGTTGGTACTGTCAGGATAGAGGACTTCCCATCCAACCCCAAAAGATGGTAGCCTCAACCAGGAAACATGGCCTACACATACCTGGATCCTAACTAATTAGGTTTGCTGCAGATCTAAGGAACTATAAACACAAAGATAATGTCCATTCCTCAGGGTAGTAATATGTTTCAAAGATCAAGGGCAGCATGCACAGAAGGAAGCAGTCCTTTACCTCAATGTACCAGACATTTGTCTTTAACTTTTGGTTCTGTGCATCCTGCAAAGCACAAAGAAAATACACACCAAACATTAGCATGTTAGCAAGTCAAAGCCCAACTCAACAATATGACAATTCCGAGGAAGGAAATCAAATGTAAATAAATAGTGCTGGTTTTAGAAACATTATCTTGACTCTTCAAGATGGGAATATTTTCAGTTCCCTGTTTATTACGTACACCTGTCACTGTGAGCTTTACTATATTATCTGTGACAAAATGGCACTTTGACTGCACTTGACATCTTGAATGATTTGTAATCTCTCTCCCACTCTAATTAGTTGCTCTGCCATTAATCAGACTAAAAAATGATATTTACTTGTGGCAAATTCTGGGCTAAAAGGATGAGACCCAGCTTTTATTTGTAATCAAGATATTATTCATGTCTTTCAATGCCTGTTATCTCAGCCACTATTGGCAGCCATTCCTCAGTTACCTTATGTTTGGATTTCCATTCTTATAAATAGACTAAATGAGCATATGTAAATGAGGTATATTTTGATGATATAAATAGATGTGATATCCCATGTCTGCAATGAGTCAGTGATTTTTTAATAGACCCCCAAAAAGAACAAACAAAATAAAACCTCCTTACTAATTTTTAAATCTAATCTAGTAAAGAACATTCTAAAACTACTATGTCTCTAAGGATTTAAAATTTTTATACCATATAAAAATTAACTTGAGATTAATCATAAATCTTAATTTAAGAGTGAAAATTTATTAAACCTTTAGAGAAAACACAGGAGTAAGTCTTTCATGACTCTGAATTAGGTAATGACTTCTTAGCTATGACACCACAAGAACAAGCAACAAAAGAAAAAAATAAATGAGACTTTATCAAAATTAAAAGCTTTTGCATTATAAAGGACATCATCAAGAAGTAAAAAGGCAGCTCACAGAATGGAAGAAAATATCTAGTAATAGCCTTGTATCTAGAATATGTAAATAACTCATAACTTAACAACAACAAAACAGACAACCCAAATTAAAGATAGACAAAGTGCCTAAGCAATCTTGAGAAAGAAAAATAAAGCTGGAGGCATCATGCTCCCTGATTTCAAACTATATTACAAAGCTATGGTAATTAAAACAATATGGTATTGGCATAAAAATAGACACATCTATCAATGGAACAGAATAGGGGGCCCAGAAATAAACCCACACATATATGATTAATGAATTTATAACGAAGGAGCCAGAAATATACTGTGGGGGGAAAATAGGCTCTTCAATAAATGGCATTGGGGAAATTGGACAGCCACATACAAAGGAATGAAACTGGGTCACTATCTTACCCCAGTCACAAAAATTAACTCAAATGGATTAAAGAATGTAAGACCCAAAATAATAAAACTCCTGGAAGAAAATATAAGTAGTAAGGTCCTTGAAATAGTTCTTAGCAATGATTTTTTAAATCTGACACCCAAAGCAAAAGCAACAAAAGCAAAAATAAACAAGTGGGACAGGACTACATAAAAATTAAAAGCTTTTACACAGCAAAGAAACCCATCAACAAACTGAAAAGGCAACCCACTGAATGAGAGAACATAATTGCTAAATATATATCTGATAAGGGTCATATATCCATATAGAGAACATTTATAACTCAATAACAAAAAATTATCTAATTAAAAATGGGCAGAGGATCTGCATAAACATTTTTTTTTCAAAGAAGATACACATAGGCACATGAAAAAATGATCAACATCATTAATCATCAGGTAAATGTAAATCAAAACCACAATGAAATATCACCTCACACCTGTTAGAATTGTTATTATCAAAAGACAAGATATAATAAGTGTTGACAAGGGTGTTTTGAAAAGGGAACCAACCCTTGTACACTGTTGGTGGGACTGCAGATTGATGCTACCACTATGCAAAACTGAATGGACTTTCCTCAAAAATTAAAAATCTAAATTACCATATGGTCCAGCAATTCCACTTCTGGGTATTTATTTAAAAAAAAAGTGAATACATTAATTAAAAAATATATGTGCACCCCATGTTTATTGCAGCATTTATTTACAAGACCCAATTTGTGAAAATAGCCTAAGTGCTAACCAATGGATGAATGGATAAAAAAAATGTGTCACATATATAATGGAATATTATCCCACCATAAAAGAGTAGAATGCCATTTGCAACAACATGGATGAACCTTGAGTGTATTATGCTAAGTTATAAATTAGAGAAAGACAAATACCATATGATGTCTCTCATATGTGGAACCTAAAAATAAAAAACAGCAACAACAAAATCCAAGTTTATAGGTAAAGAGAACAGATTGGTGGTTCTAAGAGGTAGAGAGTGGGAGGTATTTGGTTTTGGGGGTTTATTTTAGTTTTATTAAATTAAAATGTACAATATTTTAAAAAGAAAACAAAAGAACAACTTGTAAGTGCTTTGGCAAGCACTATAAGTCTTAGAGATTATAAGCAGCTACTTACAATACAACATTAGCTTTTCAAATGATAATCAAATTTGACCATAAACAATATAACAATTTGAAGAGAAAGCTTTGTAGTAAAAATAATCTGAAATTTTATATTTCATTAGAAATTTTCAATATTCAAAATAAAGCATACAAAAGAACACCTACAAAGGCTTTAAGGCTATGTGCTTTATGTAATATTTATTGACTTCATGGTTAAATATACAATTCCAATTGATTTCTTTTTAACTGTAAGGACAAAATTTAATTTCTCTATGAGAAAATATTTTACAGGAAAAAAATGACCAAAGGACTGAATAGACATTTCTCCAAAGAATATATGTAGTCATACGCTGATAATAACTGGGTAATTTCTGAGAAATGTGTCATTAGGTGGTTTTATCATAGTGCAAGCATCATAGAGTGCACTTACACAAATGTAAATGCTATAGCCTACTACACACCTAGGCTTATGATATAGGCTATTGATCCTAGACTACAGCCTGTCCAGCATGTTACTATACAAAATAACAAGGGAATAAATCAAGCACCAGAGGAAATGATGCAATCAAATGCAGTAACATGAGATGTATGTGGCTCTGCCAGTATAACACAGCACACTGTTTCACTGTAAATTTTTTTTATAAGTAGAAAGAGTATACTTTAAAATAACAATAAAAAATATATAGGCGTTCGGTGCTGAAATCAAAATTCTGCCAGTTGGGGGGTGGGCGGTGGGGGGTGGTTGGGAGGTCAGGGCTTCGGTGCTGAATTGCCCATATGGAAAATTCTGCCAGTTTTGGGGGGAGGGTGTTCGGTGCTGATATGAGAAATCAAAATTCTGCCAGGTGTGTGTGTGGGGGGGACTTGGACCAAGTCTCTTTGTGGAAGAATTGAGACTGACAGCATGCCGCCCCAGCCAACAGCCTTTTTTTTTCCATGAGGCAACCCTGATCGCATCTTCCTACTAATATAGCCAGGCCCATTCCAAACCAGAAAGTCAACTCCAGTGTAAAAAGACGATTAAAGCCTTTTAAAGGGGTTTACATACATTAAAAATTTTATATGCATTTTGCATTTCCTTTTCAGTGTTCACATGCTGATTCCGAACATATCAATTTGGCCGTTATATAGAGAGATATAACCGAACCCCATCAGGGACTGAGCTGGTCTGCTTAGAAAAGCCTGCAAGAGGTAAGCGTCCACATCGGGGGCAGAGACCTACTAATGAGAGTTCATACACTGTGTGTGTGTGTGTGTGTGTGTGTGTGTGTGTATATATATACACACACACACATATTAGTATTTTACTAATAGCAATTTGGAATCCCTAGGAAACAATGATGTCAAGAAAAAGAAAAATTGACTCCGACTGTAGGATATTCAAAGAACAGTGGACTTATGATTACTTTTTCACGCAGTACAAAGAAAAAGCTGTGTGTCTGATATGCCAGAATATAGTTGCTGTGTTCAAAGAATACAATTTGTGACGCCACTATCAAACTCAACATAAAGATAAATATGATTGTTTGGTCGGAGAAGGGAGAAAAGATAAAATATTAAAACTGAAACATACACTGACAACTCAGCAAAATACTTTTGTGAAGCAGAAGCAGCTAAATATTTCATCACTGCGGGCAAGTTTTCAAGTTGCCAAGCTAATAGCACGCAATGGCAGACCATTTGTGGAGGGAGAATTTGTTAAAGAATGCCTTCTTTCTGTTGCCAAAGAGATGTGTCCAGAGAAGGCCGATTTATTTAGTACAGTGAGTCTTTCAGGAGCTACAATGACACGAAGGATTGAAGAAATGGGAGACAATTTGCAGCACCATTTGCAAAACTCTGCAAAAAAACTTTGCTATTTTTCCTTGGCACTCAACGAAAGCAATGATGTTCGTGATTCTGCCCAACTTCTCATTTTTATGCGTGGGACAAATGAGTATTTTGAAGTCACAGAAGAGCTTGCTGCACTGCAAAGTATCAAAGGTACAACCACAGGAGTGGATATATATGAAAAGGTTTGCCAAACTGTGAATGGTTTGGAGCTGGACTGGGCTAAACTAGCCAGTGTGACAACTGATGATGCTCCTAGCATGGTGGGGTCTAAGAGAGGAGTAATTGCTCACATTAAACAAGAGATGGACAAACATAACCATCCTCATCCAATTGCCATACACTGCCTCATCCACCAACAAGCGCTGTGTTTTAAATCACTGAAGTGGGACTCTGTTATGAAAATTGTGGTATCTTGTGTTAATTTCATTAGAGTTCATGCACTAAACCACAGACAATTTCAGGAATTTCTGTCTGAGCTAAATGTTGCCCATGAGGATGTTCTGTACCACACAGAAGTCCGTTGGCTGAGTAGAGGGAGAGTTTTGAAATGTTTCTATGACTTACTTCCGCAGATTACAGCTTTTCTACTTTCAAAAAACAAAGAAGTACCAGAGCTCAATGATGCAGAATGGAAATGGCACCTTGCCTTTCTGACAGATTTAACAGAGCTACTCAACAGTTTCAATCTGCAACTTCAAGGAAAGGGGAAGCTCATCTGTGATATGGCAT